TTTTAGAAGTTTCCAATGATTCTGATAAAAAGACATACTTCAAACAAATCTGTCTGAATTTCTGGGATGAGGAGTTATTAGTATTTACAGTTGGACTAATATTATCATCTTTGTTGTTACTATCAGTTTTGATACTGCTATGTCCCCCAGATTTCTTGTGTGTTATGGAGTGATTTCACAGTGGAGGCTAAAATAAGTTCGACGTACAAAACGTTAGGAACTTCATATAATAGGTATGATGCAGTAATCTAGTTGTGATCGCTGATACTTTTAGTATCCGAATAACGGTCGTCCGACATCGACTAACTGACCAACTCACTGAGCAATCCCTTACTCTTACTACTCCTACTTATTATAGATGGGAGAGTCTATTAACTATAGAATAGGCGTGTGTTTCACTATAACATTCTGTTACCTGTAAAGTGAAAAAAGGCCCCAATCCTAAAAATTCAAACAGAAAAACCTCAACATATGTTAAGAACTCAAGTCACTTTGTGGAATTAGGTGATCCCCACCCATAACAATTGGATGGGAAATTTAAATGTAGTGAGTTTAATCACCAGGGTTACTACAAATGAAGCAATATAGACAGTGGTATTGGATTCCTTTCTCTTGAGGACTGTACTAACATCACAATAGATAAATTACTGGAAACATTGACATTTGTGTACAGACAACATTCTTCCAATTAAGGTCTGATATACCAGCAGAAGGGTGGCTTGTATATGGGTTCACTGTTATTAGCAAATATATAAATAAAATACTACAAGAGAATAGCTTTAGGCATGGTACCACTACAGCCAATTGTATGTCTCAGATACCAAGATGACACATTCATACTCTGGTTTCACCATGCTGATATGCAAATACTGCTGCACTATGTGACCTTTGATCCATTTCACATTTGAAGGGAAAAAAACCCAAAGATCAGCTGGCCTTCCTGGATGTACCGATGATTTGCACAGAGAATGAGTTCAAGATATCCATATATCTCAAGCCAACCTTTTACCTTAAACTTTATAGGTTGGCTAAAAAGGTTGCATAAAAAAACCAGATCATCCAAAAACCATGTGGTGACCCTAACATATACCAAGAGACTATGAGCATCATACATACATACCCTTCAGAATAACAACTACTTGGCAAACATAAGCGTCTGCAGGTAGAAACATAGGGGGGTCAAGGAGGAAAATCAGAAAACTGTTTGTCTGCCTGCCTCTTTCAGATCAAGAATCTGTAGTCCATACAATATCAGGACAATATTCAAAAACAGTTCAACCTTATGCCGAGCCAAACCTAGCACAGAGAACAACCCCAAGAACTGAACGTATTCCATCCCTTACAGTTCTGCCAAAAACTAAACCTATCCAACCTCCAAAAGTAATGTTGAAGGAACATTGAAAAGCTGTAGATAAGGATGGGACAATGAAATCAGTCACTGCTGATCATGTTATGAGGAGGAACGGGTGATCACCAACCTCTGCAAAATGAAGTAAAAATACTAGTTAGAGAAGAACCCTGAAAGATCAGATGACCAAAGGAATCAGGAATATACTAGGCTACGATGACCTTCTCAGTAAGCCTAAAAGAAAGAAACAGCAACATAGAGACCAATGCTTGACAGCATGGGTTCAGCAGCAGAACAGGCAAGAAGAACATTATGTTTAAAATTCCAAGTCTAAGTTTCATGAATACCGAGAGGATTAAAATGTTGCTTTGTGAATTTGTTACCATTGTACTTCCGGCCCAAACTTAGGCTTAGTGAAAACAGGACTACCAATAACTGAGCAGTTCTAAAATGACATGGACAATGGAACAAGAACAATCTACTCTTGTATATTAAACGGTTCAGTTTGAAATTCCACAAAGGTTAACTGGATTGACACAAACCTGAAGGCCAGAAAGGACAATGACTGAAATATGATAGTAATAACAAAGATGAGGATATTAGTCTGACTGTAATTAATGTAATTAAAGATATTTAACAAATGTATTTCAAACACCATTTGTGGCATACTTTTTAAAAATTCTATTTGAAGATTGGAAACAATTCCATTTATTTTGGGGTTAATCAGAGTTGAAATCTTTATTTCACTGGGTGAATCCATTTAATAGATTTATTTTGTTAAAAATTAAATAAGTTAAGGGAACTAAATCAAACTTGTGTGAAATGTTTTTTATGATAAAGTCTCTGGCTGGGCCCTCAAAATGTGTGACATTAAACAACAAAAGATAAAAAGTTAATATGTAACAAATTTATCTAACTAGAGAGTTTTTTGTTTAGCCTGGTAAGAAAAGTAGATTGGCATTTCCTAAATCTAAACACAAGCTTACACATAGCCTGACGTCAGTTAACGTAAACCATAAATCTGCCTGACCTCTTAAACATAAATGAAGTGATAAGCAAAGACAAGTGCAAGAAAGGAAACCCTAAAAATAATTCAGCATTAGGAAATGTAAAGAGCAAACTTTTAATACAGCTAAAATAGCCAAAATTATATGAACTCTGCAGCATTGGTGAAGTATATATATATATATATATATATATATATATATATATATATATATATATATATATATATATATAATAAAGAGAGAAAGTAAATCAAGGAGTAAATTTAACATTGATAAAATCTATGCTTGTACAAGACATATATATATATATATATATATAAAAGGAAGGGAATTACAGCTGTTTCCTTAATTCAAGGGAGTTAAGCCTAAGAATTCCTAAAATTCATTGTTATTATTCTCAAGTGTTTTTCTAAACAATCAAGCAAATCTCAAAAAAGGCTGACCTGCAAATAGACAAATTTTGCAACAGTTAACAAGAACTTACAATAAATGGTCATCCAGGCATAATTATGTGAGAAAAGAGAAAGGAAATCATTCTTAGAGGAAGAATTATACAATTCCATTAATATATAGAAGTCATGAGAAAAACTGCAAAATCTACTGTGAAGATGTTTAATCTTTACCTATGATGATAATGGGAACAAGAAAATGCTATTAATTTGCTTAAAGAAAACCAAATTACATGAAATCCCATGACAATAGTAAAAGGGAATTCACTAAAAATCTAATAGTCAAAATATTCAATCAATTTTGAAAAAAATTCTAAACAGAGTTTATTTCTGGATGATCTGAAGAAAAATAAAGAAACTTGAATGTCATTGTTGCAATTTGAAAGAGACAATGAAGCCTTTGTGATATTTCAGAATTAGAAATAATTTGTAATGGAGGAAAGACTAGAAACCTAAAATGCATTATTGCTTAACAACTTGAAGGAGAAAGAAGCAAACAAACCTAAATTACATTTCAGCCATCAACAGAGAAACATTAAAAGTTTTTCAATTAAAAAGTATGACTTGTTGAAAAAAAGATTCCCTTGTACATGTACAGTCATAATTAAACAAGCTTTAATAAATGAAGATTATAAATAAAAATAAATTCAATTAGTGTTTCATTATTATGCAAGTCAATGACTCCTTTTGATGTTTATTCCTACAATTAAAGTGATAAACTTTAATGGTTAGTGTGCAGGACTGTTGACAGAAGTTTTTACATAATCTTTAGAGCTGTTTAGGGAGTGTGTGTTTGTACAGAGTTCAATTTAATCCTTTTTTAAGCTATACAGAACAGTAAAGATAGCAAATATGTTTGGAGATGATTGATTGCAAGAATAACTCTTTCAGAATATCTCTTGAAACACCTGAAAATGAAAATGGTTTAAATGGATTCATTTCAATAAAACCTGGACCCTTGCGAGACTTGCTCATTCACCATGTCTGAAGGCATAAGATCAATAATTCTTGAAAAGAAGACATCCATTTTTGTTTCTAACCTCTTTCTAAGCTGATATTGTGCAATAGCCGAAAGAAGCTATCAGATGCACTCCAAATATTAAACTGCATATCTGACATATGCCGTTGTCAGAAACCATGCAGAGAAAAAGAGACAAATGCTATATCAATACGTAGCGCATCCTAATATTTAAAAAATGGTCATCTGTTCAAAGTAGGGCAAATGCAATACATTGATTTTTTCTGATCTTCAGAATGGATGCCACCTACAAATTTTCTTAAAAAAAAAAATCTCTCTTGTTGCAAGCTACTTTAGTTCTGATCCAAGCATTGTGAAATTTTAAAAATAGACATACATTAATTAAAGACAAGGCTTCAAAGAAATTGTAACAGAACTAATTGCAACTGCTACTCACTTAAGTCCTGTAAACCCCACCAGAGAGTATGGGGTCCAAAGCTTTCAACAACACTAAGCGTTGCTGATGTGGTCCCCTGAGCAAGTTGGTTTTTAAGACTTGAATTTGCTAACCCCATGCCTGACTAGTTTTGAATTCAGAGTTGTCCATCTCCTCGGCTGGTTACTAACCAAGGCTAAAGAGCACAGCCTGCCCTGAAATTTAACTGGAATTTGAACTTGACCATTCTGATTTCTCATTCTGGCTTGCTATCCATACACCCTCCCCACTCCTCTGGATTTTGAAGAATCACCTAAAAATTAAAGTTTTCATGCCCTTCTTAAAACTAATTTACTACCTCATCTTGGGCCAGAGGGACCTTCTTTTACTGAAGGTTTTCATTATATATTCAATAACAATCCTCATCAAATTAACTCCCTACTGCATGAAGTGTCCTTAAAATTTTAGGTCTTTCGCCTAATCTATCTTGCTGGTTAATGGTAAGCTTAGGGGTGGTGGATTTTAAATTTTAGTTACCCCACACCTCTAAAAATTGAATGTCATGTACTAATAGTATGAGACTTAGTAATTATTAAATCCAGAGGGTGGGGCCCCAAATGTTTGACCTAGAGTATGTAGCTACACCAATAAAGTCCAAGATTAAATATATTTAAAATTAATAATATTTACATTATACAAAGGAAACTTCAGATCAAACTTTAGCTAATGTGTCAAGATCTAAACTTACTGATCTAGCCTTTTATGCCATAAACAGAGTTGAAATTTTTTCTCTCATCCTTACCTGGGGCCTCCACTCTGGTATAGTGGTATGGATTCACACAAACCTCGTCTCGTTTCAAATTATAAGCGTATTCACAATTATCAAGGGCACGTAACTCCTGGTGATTCTGTAAATCAGGCCACCGCCACAGGCGACAGTAGATTACATGTGGGTGACCCTTTCTGTGTGACACTTGTAAACGACCATCTAAGGAGCTGAAGAAAGAAAGAAAAAAAAGAAAATGACATTTAATAATTGCTTTGTGTTTGTCAGCTAAGATTCAATGTTGAAAATTATTACAGTTATACAAATAAAAATTTGGAGCAAATATGCAGATGGGGAGATGGGAAGAAAAGAAAAATGTCTAAAATCTTTACAGCAAAAAAGATGAATTCAAAAGAGAAAAGTTTAGCCAATGACAAATCAAGAGATTGATCCCTGTCAACTAACAGCAAAGAGGTTTTCAAGTCTCAAACTAAAGTAGTTTTTTGTTGTTTTGCTTATTAAATATTATATAAATATTAGGTGCATGAATATATTATATCCAATGGAACAGTATCTGCCAGATTTTTATTTTTAAACATATTTTTAATTGCTATCAACAGAAATAAATAGACAAAATTCATGTCTCTTATCAATTTCATCAATAGTATAGATACAAGTATTAAGTATAGATATTTTTAATTATTAAAAGAAATTAATAACTAGCTGAAACTCTGACTTGCAAACATTTTATTAATAAATTTATAAGTAAGGGAGTACAAATAAAAAGATTTGAAATTGACAATATTTTCTATTTCACTGAAACGGCCATTATACACATCTATCTTCTGTTCTTCCTGACTTTCATTTTGTCACTGAAAGCAAGTCGAATCTGTAATATATCAGTTGTGCGTTTTCAGGCAGTTCAAATGGAATAGTTTGTTATTTATAAGGAATTGGCATATTGTTGTAACTGTCATGTGAACAAATGAAGAGAGTGACATGCAGAATTATAATAGAGATCATTGTCATAAAAATGCAATTGTGTGCATTTCTGGATATAAGAACACAATCTTCAGATGACTCAACAGAAGGATAATCTGACAAGCAAATATGGACTCAAACTGAATGTTTTCTTCTTCAAGGTGCAGTTTCCCTTAAGAATGTGGGCAAACATGGCTCTCCACAACCTTCTATCCATTGTGGCCCTTGGAGTTTCTCCATCTACTATCCATTGTCCCAATCTTGTCAATATCTACTAGCCCCCCCCCCCAACTAGGGTAGATGTGGCACAAGGCAGAGTTTTATGTGGGTCTTCAGAGCCTGTAGGCTCGGCCAAAAATATTCCCTTTTGAACCCGTATAAATGGGTTCAGGTCAGTCTACCTCCCCGAACGAGACTCTGCTCTTCGGCGGAGCCTCGTCCGGGTTCCTCTCTGTCTGAAGGCAGAGAGTTCGACTGTCTAGCTGAAAAAGATTTCGCCGAGTCACCCAATCTTGTCAGGTAGGTGCCCCCACCCCCTGCCCTTGATATACTCTAAGTTTTTCAAGATAACCTTCCACATGGACACATGGCACAGTGGATAAAGACGTTAGTTAGATCCAGTGACAGGACCCAAAGAGTGTGAGTTTAATACCTGGTTAAGGTGGTTGAGAACTTTCAGAGGGAAATTAACAGGAGATAACTGATAACTGACATCCATTAAACATGGCATGTGGAACTAAAACAGTCTACCCCAGTGAGTGAAATAAAGGGTTAAGTTCAACATTCCAACCACCTGAAGAAGGCCAGAACGTAATAAATATGGCGACAAAGATGAGGACAATAGTCCGAATAGTGTAATGTACCTCATCTCAGAAATATAGACAGATACTAAGAATTTTTAGTTATCTCTTCCTGATTCAGATTATAAATGTTCTTTTTGTTACCATTTTTCATTGTCACCTGTTTCCTCTTCATCTGTGGTCAGATCATCCAGCATTCATTGACATACAAGCGGATTGATATCATATCACATCAACACTTTTGTTTCTAACAAAATTTTCATGTATCTTAGGACTTTTAGTTTTTCAAAAGAATTTTTCACTAGTCCAATAAGTGTTCAGAATTTGTTATTGCATTTGCTATCCTCTGTTAAAATAATTCTTAGATATTAAAACTTTTGTACTTGTTTTCAATTTGCGGTTCACATCTTGGGCTTCTTTTCTTGCCGACAACCATACGTCTGTCTTCTTTCTTCTTACACTTGATGGATAATCCTTTTTTTTTTTTCTCACTTTCCATTACTGTCTTGTCTGAGAGTTCTGGTGTCTGCCATCAAGACTGTGTCATCTGTGGATTGTTAAGACAGTGCCTCTTGATAAGTTCTGGTAGGATCAACAGCTCCTTTATGATAGCCTTACTGTAGAGGTTTAACAAATCTGCCCGAGAAGACATTCTTGTCTTATGCCCTTTTCTTTTTGTACCTATTCATTTTCCATCTGCATGCAGGCGGTTTACTTCCAGTTCTAAATTATTCTAACATCTTTTCTAGTTTTTTTTTAAATAAATTTCACCTAAACAAAAAGCAGTAAAATTTTATACCTTTCTAAAACTCTTTGTTGTCAAAAGCTATCATATTTCCTGCTCAAATATGGTGTGAAGTCTTGAAAATCTCGTAAATCAAATCTTGAGCACGCCTGGCTAGTTCTTCATTTAGAAAAGAGGGATTGTTATAAAAATTAACCATTTATGGCCATATAGGGAACTATGCAATGTAACTGACCACAAATAGATGGTCTTTCTTCAAAATGCTAAGCAACTTTTGCTTATAACCAAGTCAATTCTCGTAAAAAAAAAAGAAAAAAAAAAAAAAAAAAAAAAAAAAAAAAAAAAAAAAAAAAAAAAAAAAAAAAAAAAAAAAAAAAAAAAAAAAAAAAAAAAAGAAAAAAAAAAAAAAAAAAAAAAAAAAAAAAAAAAAAAAAAAAAAAAAAAAAAAAAAAAAAAAAAAAAAAAAAAAAAAAAAAAAGAAAGAAAAAAGAAAGAAAGAAAAAAAAGAAAAAAAAAGAAACCTGCCTTTGTAAGTAGGGCAGGGATTTGAAGCAGATCCCACATATATTGAGGCAAACAGAAAAGTGAAGTACACCAATATTTCAGTGTTCATCAGCATTCATAAGAAACCTACACAATGTGGCAGTTGGATAAACCATTTGGTTTTATCTTTGATTACATGTTCTTAGTTGAAATCAAATATTAAATTTATTTTTTAAGGATAAAAAGCTTCTATGAATAAACGGTTTTGACTAGCTGGAAAATTTCAATGGCAACCCAAGTGGACTCCAAGATGATCGGTTAGTGATATAGATTGATTTCAACAAAAAAAAGTTACTAATAAATGTTAAATCGTGCAGAACACAATGGAGGAGAAATACAAATTTCAGAAATGACATGATGAACACATGGTTATTTATGACATTATGAGCACTCATTAATTTATGCAAGCAAAAATCATTATTCATAGAAGAGACATTAAAACATTTTAATGGGAAAATACTATAGAAATCTTTTGATCAAGGTATACACTGAAACTAGTTTCTCTATTTACAAAACAAATTAGTATGAATTGGAAATAATATCCAAACTTCCAATGCAATTTGAATTCCATTTCCTGGTCTTGGGAAACTTGAAGGTCTTTAAATCATTTCATTCTAAGTGAGGCAATAAAGCCAAGATGGGGATTAGAGTTTTAGAGAATATGAGAAAAATAAACACATTATTAAAGACAGAAGATAACTATCGACATTGCATTTGTATTTTTGACAATCAAAGTTGACTGGAAAGCAAGAGGCCAAAACAGAGTTTCACAAGCGAGAAGTGTGAGAGAAGAGACTGCCTGCATAGAACTTACAGCTTATTAAACTTCATAAAGTAAACTAAGAGATATAAGTAACTTTGCAATCAATTCCATTACCCACCTTAATTATTGACATTTAATCTTGCAGGAAAAACACTCATACAAATCAAATTAGCAGTTACAATTTCTACCTGTATAAAATTTAAGCACAATGATAAACATTATAAAATTATTCATTTCACAATGCACAAAATTCTTTATAAAGGAAAATATTTATGCATGCAAATGTGATGTGATGTGTGCGTGCCTGTGTGCGTGTGTTTTAAGGAGAAACAGGCAAAGGTCATTTATTGTTGACAATTAGAAAATAAGAAAACACAAAGAAACACCAATCCTATAAATGCTAAAGGAGTAGAATTCACTTCATGAATGGAGGTTGTGCACAAAGAAACATTTTGAAAAATGTTAAATTGGGAAATCTTAAACTCTGAAGCACTTTCATTATGAATATTACCTTCCGCTATAATTATAGAAAAATGCAATTATTTTATAACAAGTTGTTTATATAACCTCAAATTTATAAAATTACATTAAAATTTAAACTCTATGCAATCTGTGTGTGTGTGTGTGTGTAATAAATAAAAGACAATGGGAAAATACTTTATGCCAACATGTTTTGTTCTTTGAGGCACTTTACCAAGACAAGTGAATTAATATGGCTGAAGATTGCACTCAAGTATGAAAGACAACTCTTGGTGTCCACTTTTATATCTACATACACTATCACTTTTATATCTACATACACTATCACTTTTATATCTACATACACTATCACTTTTATATCTACATACACTATCACTTTTATATCTACATACACTATCACTTTTATATCTACATACACTATCACTTTTATATCTACATACACTTTTATATCTCACTTATACTTTTATATCTACATACACTATCACTTTTATATCTACATACACTATCACTTTTATATTTAAAACTTTTATAACATACACTATCACTTTTATACCATTATCACTTTTAATCTACATACACTATCACTTTTATATCTACATACACTATCACTTTTATATCTACATACACTATCACTTTTATATCTACATACACTATCACTTATACTTAGCACTTTTAAAACTAAATGTAGCATACCATTAAAGTATATATAATGACTAATATAAAATAACCAAAGTATCTAAGATGGAACACACGAAAACCAGTTGGATGTTTAAGGGGGGAGATATGTTACCATGGCAGCACTGTAGTTAATTATAATGATTTAAAAATAAATATCTATCAACAAATCAATAAGATTTATAAAGAAATTTATTAAAATGAAATGTAAACTGTGATTTGATATAGAAAGACAAATATAAG